TTTTTATTTACTAATGAAATATCACTTGTTAAAATTTGCATACAAGATCTAGAAATTTGATGAAAATTATATATTATAGTCTTCGGTGTATACACACACACATATATATATATATATATATATATATATATAAATATATATATAAAGGATTATATTAGTTATTATAACACATTTATGTATTTCGATTTGAATTTAATACTACTTGTAGTTACGAGATTCTTTAATCTCAGTATGCTTTACATAAATAATTATTTACAAATTACATTTTTGTCATTTAAGACATTTTTTATTATGTTCATATATATTTTGAGTTTTTGTCGAAACTTTTCAATAAAAAAAGAAATTTAATACGTATCACAAAATTTTTTTCTTGTAAATGTTTTCCTAAAATTTAAATTAATATCCTTGTGATTAACTTTTATTTATAAACCTAAACATACATAATAATGCACGTGTATTTGTTTTTGTTTTGTATAATGTATTTCCATCATGTTTTGTGTGATATTTGGACAATTTCAATTTTATGTATTATTGATGTCATAAAAGTCTTACTTATAATTTATTACATAAATTGTTCTCAGTCATATCTTAAAAGACACAGAAATTGTGTGTATATATATTTTTAGTATTCAAATATATATATAAGGCAAAAAAATTATTTTAATTTTTGTTTGGACAAGAAGAATATTTTATTTACATATGATGTCAATGATACAAAAATGTATGTTGTTTTATAAATCTAGTAAAATATAATATATATCGAACACATGATAATTGTTACTGACCAAAACTAATTTTATCATAAAAATATAATACAATAGAATATATTTTTATTAATTATTTGAGATAAAATATTAAAAATAATTTCGTTTTTTTTAACGAAAATAAATGCAAGATATAGATATACTACTTGTATAATAAATTTTTTTTAATGCTTCCTGTTTAGACTCAAATTACTGTGTGGCTTCTTAACAATCCTTGGGGTCTATCATGTGCAACATCAACTGCCTTGCGTTTGGAATTGTATTGTCAACTGAAATGCTGAAAATCGTCACGAGATGGACGTTTTTTTGAATCACACATTTACATCATATTTAAATGAACAATCTATAAAATTTTATAGATTAGATAAAAACGTGCTAATGTCTTATAGTGAATTCGATCAGAATATTAATAAGGTAAGGTCGCCTATTATGGGATAAACTAATATGAGATAGCTAGGTTTCTGCTAAACTATTAGGTATACAACTTTGCTTTGTTTTCCTAGATGGCTTTAACGGTAAGTGGTGGTCGAAATAAATAGATAGATCATAGACGTCATACAATAAACTTGGGCATCTGTCAACATAATCCCATAGAAACATTAGTCGATTTGTGTCTGCATCATAAAGTTATTCTCGATTGAAAAGTTTTACGAGCCAAATTCTCGTCATTTGTGGGAGGTTTTAATTTTCTGCTTCAATATGAACAAATCTGCAGCTGAGGCTCATCGAATGCTCTCAAATACTTGGTGAGACCACTATTAATGAAAGAACGTATCGTGAGTGGTTTCAACGCTTCAAGAACGGTGATTTTGACGTCGAAGATCGGCAAGCGGTGGAAGAGAGAAGGTTTTCGAAAATGCAGAATTGGAGGCATTACTTGATCAAGACTCGTGTCAAAATCAAGAAGAATTGACACGATCATTGGAAGTGATTCAATAAGCTATTTCAAAACGTCTCAAAGTCATGGGAATGATTCAGAAGCAAGGAAATTGCCGTACGAGTTGAAGCCGAGAGATGTTGAACGGCGTTTGCTTGCTTGTGAACAGCTGCTTGAAAGGCAAAGACGGAAGGGATTTCTGCATCGCATTGTGACTGGAGATGAAAAATTGGTTCATTAACCCCAAGAGCAGAAAATCATGAGGAGTTCCCGGCCATGCTTCCACGTCGACGGCCAAACCGAATATTCGGCTCCAAGATTATGCTCTGTATTTGGGAAGCGGCGTAGTGTATTATGAGCTGTTAAAACCGACTGAAACAATCACAGGCGATCAGTATCGAGCGCAATTGATGCGTTTGAAAGACAAACGGCCGCAATACAACGAGAGACACGATAAAGTGATTTTGCAGTATGACAATGCTCGACCCCATGTTGAGAAAATGGTCAAGACATACTTGAAAACATTGAAATGGAAAGTCCTACCTCACCCGCCATTATATTCTCCAGACCGTGCTGGCACACGGCCTGGCTGACCAGCATTTCCGGTCTTATGAAGAAGTAAAAAATTGGATCGATTCGTGGATCACCTCAAAAGATGACCAGTTTTTTCGATGTGGGATTCGTACGCTGCCCGAAAGATGGGAGAAAGTAGTGGTCAGCGATGGACAATACTTTGAATCATAAATGTATAACCAGTTTTTTACAATAAAGCCTCGAATTTCGGAAAAAAAACGGCGGAAGCAAAATTGTACACCTAATAATAAGCGCATATGTTTGATTCTATCATGAACTTTTTACTCTTAGCATGAAGCTTGTTTAGTAGAAAATTCATTATTAGATCATGTGTGTAATTGTTGCAAAAAAAGATTTGTAAAATTGAATGTTGTCAAATTTTAGAGATTTCAAATTTTGTTTTATAATATAAAAATAAATATTGCATAATAAATCAGTACATGCAGTGATCGAGTAAGATCATATTCATAGGACAACATATATAGTGATTTGTTTAACTGTAAAGATTAGATTTGATGATCGTGAAACACATCGCAAGGCATGGAAGTCATAATATGAGATACTCAGAGTATTCCTAACTAATATGAGAGCATCTAAACAATTTAATATCTCAAAGTATATTTTATTGTTAAGATTACACACACACACACACACACACACACACACACGCACGCACACGCACGCACGCACGCACCACACACACATATACACATCGAAAAATTGTACGATTATTGTGTATAACATTTAAATTCTTTGTTCTTACTTATATATAATATAATAAAAGAATATAAAAAGCTTATCTTTATTTTTTTCTTAATTTCCTGTTATGAGATATCATCTCATACAAAAAAATCTTTATATCTCATATTAGGAATCCTTTTTTTAAATGATCAAAATCGACACTTTTGATAAAAGTTTCACATACAACAAAGTATAATTATTACCGACTGCTAACTATTGGCGATAAAATTTAAATATATTTCCCATAAATTTGACATGAAGGCAGAAATTCAAGTTACATTCAGGTAAATTAAATAAATTATAAGCCTTTAAAAGAAGTATCTCATAATAGGTGATTTTATCCTATAGTGCGTACTGCCGTAATGCATATTAAAAATTGTATAGTGATTTAATTTGAGTGTAAAAGTAAAAGCAAAAATTTCAAATTATATTAAGACTTTCACGACTTAAAACGTTTCTATATATTAAATACATATCTTTATCGTCAATATTTGTGTACGATGGCTTTAGTATCGGTGCGTATTGAATGCGTTCAATTCAATTTGCTGCTCAGAAAAATGTAAAAGATAATTTTGAATATGGAAGAAGAATATCATTTAATTATACAAAAATTACACAGATTAGATTTAGTAGAATATTTTTTAGAAACTTTCCTGAGTTTGAAAAATAAAAACGTTGACAAACACATTTATACTTTTATAAATTATATAAATTATATACTTATTTATATATAATTTTATATATTTTAAATAGTATAATTATATAATATTAAGAAAAAGCAAAATGTGTTTTCGTTAAAAAAAATTACAAATATCAATTTGACAGCTTCGGAAGGATGATTTCAACTTTGAAATGAAATTATGTTGTTTACATTTATTCTTCGAAATGACTTAAAGACTGACAATATTTATACATACATGTCATATTTTAAAAACCATGGTATATGTTCCTATTTTTGATAATTTGCTTTTATAGAGAAATTAATGATTAACTCTTTATAATAATTAATTACTATTTGTTACAGTTACAATTGGCAAATTGTCATAGTAAGCCAGTACCTTCGAAACTATATCAATCTGTAACATTGATCTCCCATTTTAGGAGATTGATGATATCTGATGATGAGACCTGTATCATCATTAATATATATTTACCTGTATCATAATAAATAGTGATATGTTTTTAATTTATTATTTTTTATTGTTAGGTTTATCATTATAGAAATAAAAGACATTATTGATTAAGCGTGAATATATAACAAAATATGTATAAAAATATATATTTAATATATTATATATATTTAATATATTATATATTTTAATATATTATAATACTAAATTAATTTCATATTTAATATAATAAATTAATGTAATTTTTTTTTCCACAAAAGACATATGTATAAAAGACATAAAAAATTATATTTTATATGTCTATCTATTTTTCGATATGTTTATCGTTTCTCTGCTTATGCAATAAATACTTGCAAAATTAATACAATGTGTTCTAAATTAATGAATCCTTATTTTTTACAAATCTTTTAATCAATTTACAAATAATTCTTTTTGCATAGTAATGTTAGGACAATTTGAAATAAATTTATTTCAAATTTTCTTCAATATAAAATATTTCGGAAATAAATCGGATTAAATATTGTTTAAATATTAACAAATATTTTGATCTTTAACAACAAAAATTCGCTGAAAATTATCCGATTTATTTAAATCAATATTTAAATTTTATAACATACATAATTTAAATAATCAAACTAGATAAAAATCAACGAATTTTTGCATAAATTATGAAACATATTATAAAAACAAATGAGTTTATATTCTTAATTTATACTTGTGTGTACATACATCTTCGATATTTTCTAATAAAAAGGTTAAAATAGTTTGAAATTCAATTTTATTTGCAATTTGCATGCACTACTTATCTTAAACAAAAGCTGAAATGCGCAACAGTAGAATATATATCTGTACAAGAAAAAAAATAAAAAAAATAAAATTATGCAAATCGATCGACAGAAAATTGATTTTAAAGCAATGGCACTTAAACGAGGGAGAAACGAAAAAAGTATTGCCACAGCTTGGACGCCGGATTTATTTGGACCTGTTTTTAAGAAAAAGATTTTGACAGTAAAGCAGGTTAGATCTGACAGTTAAATAATCTGACTTCTTTACATAATATTTTGGTCCCTTTTTATTAATATAAACTTTGTTTTTAATTTATTAACTTTATTCACTTTACGTATTTTAATCCCAATTTAATTTTTTAGGCCTTGCATTTGCGTGATGTAAACGAGCTGATTCATCGTATGGCCACTTTCGTTCCCGATGAGATAATATACGGAAATTTATCAGAGAAAAGTTTACAAAGCTTCAAAGCTGTTTTAATGTTTTTAAACATTTCAGGTTAACATCATTGTTTTGCGTACGCATAAAAATTTGTAAATTTGTTTATATTAGAGTAAACAAAAATATTTTTTTAAATTAGTGTAGTAACACCTGATTAATATAATAGATTTCTCGACAATATTTAACAATTTTTTTCATGATAAAAACGGAGGATGTATGGCTTTAACTAGTACATTAAATGATTACATTCGTATCGTGGTTCGTGAAGTATACTGTAATAAAGGAGACATACTAAAATTTTCTGGTAAGAGAGAATACCGTTCAAAATAAAATACATCAAAATAAAATACATCAATAAACAAATAGTTTAAAAATATTTTTTTATAATAAATGTTTCTTTCCAAATAAACATATTATTTCGCACAATTATTTTTTTTTAATTTGTAAATTGAATATAAGAAACATTACAATTATGTATAAAATAAACATTCAGTCTAATTTGCTATAAAATAGACCATATTATATTTGTTTATTGATTATATTTTAATATAATCTATAATAATTTAAAGGAACAATTAAATCAAACATAAAATGTAAAAAATTATTATATAAAATAGATTTAAAGTAGATTTGCTGATATATATTGACTCATACACTTATATGCTCGATCACACATACATACAAATCATTTTATAAGAGCTTCTATTAAAATAAATATTATGTTAAAAATAGCTGAAGGGATATTAACAGCATGGAAAGTACACGATGGCGAATTCATATATAATATTGTGCAAAATGTAATAGCAAGAGCAATAAGTATACAAAATTCTATAGCAGGTTTAAAAGACGGTATTTATAAAGATATTTGCCATATATAATAACGTTCTAATTAATATGAAATATTCAAATTTACACAAAGTATAAATTTAAATTTAAAAAATTATATCAAAATTGCATAAATTCAAAATAAAAAACCAAGAGCACACATTTAATTTCTATTTAGCTTCGTGTATATCAGGCGAATTTATATAACGTATTTTTTTTCGTTGTGAATCACAAATTTTAATTAATAGCGAATGTGGCTATTTCTGCCGGGGACGTAAAGTTCTCGGTGATTGGTGACGATGAAGCTCGGCATTTCGTGATATGTGGTGTGCCGATCGAAGAGCTAAAAAATGCGAAAAAGATTTCTCTGCCGAATGACTTGATACTATCACTTAGTGCATGGCAGCATTGTCAACCAAGTCAATATGAATATGTCATCAAGAATCCGTATAATATAAAGGTATGATGACATTCTAGTTACAGTTCGAAACTCTTAACGTTAACGTTTTCTCTCTTACTCTCTGATATTTTATAAATTAGAAGCTAAAAACAAATACTATATCTCATTTCTTTTTACTCGGTATAAAATTGCGTAATTAATTATTTGTATTTAGATGCAAATTAGTTCAGATGTAAAAATCTATTATTAGAATTTAAAGATTTATTTACTAAAACAACAGTTATTGATGTGAAAAAATTTTGTTGTTGCTTTAAAGAAAAGAATATACTCTTATTTTTACAATACTGATTCATTGCCGATTGTGTTTTAAATTGAATTTTGTTATAAATTTATTTTATAAACAACGATTCTGTATAAATTATTGATTTTAAAAACAAACTTTTATATTATAATTTTAGACAGTTCTCAAAATAATCCCATTTCAAAATAATCTTATTTCAAAATAATCCCTTTTTTTTTTAAGTAAATGCTTCTGTAAATTTATGAAGATGCGCGTGTTTCAAATTTTTATAGATAATAAGAGTGTTAAAGTCAGACATAATATCAACTTACATGGCACCGATATTGCCGAATAATCGCGACGATCCAAACTATGAACCATCTATGGAGGAAAAATTGATAATAAATGACATCAGACCATCATCACTTTACAGAACACACTTGATATCTATTAACGTAGAATCTGAGACAGAAATTACTAAACAGAAAAGTACGACAGGTAAAAATAAATATTTATTCCATATTGCATTTATAATTTTATTATGAACTGTTCTATATCCTCTCTGTATCTATTTGTATCTTTTTCTTTATCTATCTCTTACTTACATTTCTCGTATTTTATTAGCTGTAATAAATATTAATGTGTTCTATTAGAATCAAATCAAGTTTTTCTTTCTCATTTCCATACAGCTATTAAAATATAGTGTATAAATCATGCGTTTAATTACTTATTGTAAATCTTTTTTTCTTTATTCCTAATAATATCTTATATGAATCTTAATCGCCGTTTGTTTAGAATGCGTAAAAAATAATATTAAATATTTTCACTTTATATTAAATATTTCCACCAGCGATCACGGAGATAGCAGCAATAAATCCGAATTTCAGCACACATTTAAGAAGTTATTTGATAAAGCCGGTGATCCAACAGGTATCATTTATCGTAAATCATAAACTATTTTAACTGATAAAATAAAAGAATTTATGAGTATGCCTTTTCCAGAATTATTTATTAAGTATGCCTTGCTTTTCGCAGATCGAAAAAGGTGAATCATTAAGATTCTTGGCGGAGATTAGACGAATTACAATAATATCTATTAATATTGTTCCCAATGAATGTTCAGACAACGAATTAATTCTTTTGATAGATAATTGCTTTCTACTTTTGCATAGGTACTGTCATAATACTATGATTAATAATAGATATTATTTTCTATATAAGAAGATTATTATTTTATAAATATTATAATAAAAATGCAAAATTTCTCTTTAAATTTTAATTTCAAAAATATTTTGTTATTAATTTCATGTATAATTAATATATTGCTGTCTTTTCAGCAATATATTACATAGCACTTTGTTACATTTATAGAAAGAATAAGAAAATAAATTGTTTCAATATTTATTATAGTATAATTACGCAATACGGAGGTTGTATTAACATAATGAATCTGTATGAGAAGAATATTTTTTTTTGCATTGGTTTTGGTATACGTGGATGCAACAACGAGAACCAATTTAAAATCGATGAAACTTGTAAAAATGGAATTATTTGTGCGACACAGATATTGCAAACAGTGCAAACCATCGTAGGGGTTCAAAGCATTTTTATCGGCATATCAACAGGTAATAATGCACTTTTGTTCGAAGATATATTAGTCCGTGTATAGTAATAGCCCAATACATCCTCAATGTATGCCCGGTATATAACTAATTGTGCTATGACTTTTATTTCTTAAAAGGTACCTTTTGGAGAGAATTAGGACTAAAACAGAAAAGCATTACAATAACGTTAATCGTTTTAACATATCGTTTACAATATTTACATCGTGCGAAATTATGATTCTGTCGTAATATTATCGTAATTCTAGCATTGTGATACAAATATATGTGCCGTATTTGTATTACCAATTTAATTTCAGGAATAGCTTATTGTGGCGTGATCGGGCATATCGCTAGAAGATATTACGCAATTATTGGACCGCCTATCGATAAAGCTATAAAAATAATGGATATTTCCTGTAATAAAGTAATTAACAGCTTGACTGAGATACTTAAATTTTGTTTACAGTTTAATTTATTATTATTTATTATTAAAAATAACCACATTATTTTATTAAATTACATTGATAATAACGTGCGTTTGTAAAACGATTTCCTAAAAATTAAAAAAAAGGTTTAATGATGTATTTTTTCTACCTATTCAATAATATTGTCGAAAATGTGTAAATATATAATTAATTAATAAAAATATATAAGGATATAAATTTTTTCCTGAGTTATTTGCAATATCCCAAGTAGAACACAAAATCATAATAAAATTAAGATGACATCAAGTAGAAATTATTTTAGAAAAATCATAATTATGTTTAATTTTTTTTAAAACTCACTTGACATAAAAATAATTTTTATGTCAAGAATTCATCACAAAATTTTGTCAAAAGTGTATCAAATGACATTATTTTTCATAAAATGACTTTGGCTTAATATCATTACAATGTTATTATAATTGTATTTTATCTGAGACCTGGTTTGCAGGTTTCCTGTGATTATGACACCATGTTGCATAGTCATTTTAGAAAAAATCAATTTCGTTGTCGAGGCATAAAAATTTTACAATTGGAAAAATATCACATCTTTGAATATCTTGGTGATGTACCGTGAGTATTTGAATTTATTCCTTCGTTTAAATGCGAATAATAATAAAATAAATAGAAGTGAAATTTTATATTTGTTTCTTCAAATACCGTGTAACATTTATGTTTGTGGCTGTAACTGAAAACAATGTAACGGAAGCAAATAAAAAAAAAAATTTATCCAAATAATCGATTAAATTTTTACTGCATAATTTTATTAAAATATGTTGATCAACATAAATATTACAAATCTGTGCGGTGCATTTCCATTTTCATAGTAGCAGTGCATTTCTATTTTATTTATTAAAAATTTCAGGGAAAACGATCAAATAATTAAAACTGTAACATTATGTTAAAACATATTAAACTACTGTTTTTATCATTTCTATTTATTTTAATATCGATCTTTATATGTTTAAAAGATAAGAAATAAGTAAAATTAAACTATTAAATTATACATATATTTAAAAATAAGATATAATTTTTATGCAAGTAATAAAATATGTAAATCAAATTTCCCATAATATCTTTATAGAAATCAGAAAGATGTACCTTTGTCTTTGGAATATGGTTATCCTATTTTGGGTAGACTGCAAGAGTTGGAACACTTCAATGAGATTCTGGACAATATTGGAATCGCAGATCGAAAATATTCAGGATTGTTGATCGAGGTTTGATTCAAAGTTCCGAAAATAAAGTGAGCGTTTGTAAAATAAAATTGTCACATATTATTGTCTAGTACATTATAACTCTGATAATTAATTTGTTTAATATTTATAATTATGTCACATTTTAAATAAAATTATTTACAAATTAGTATATTGTGCCTTATATAATTATAAAGATAAAAAATAAAAAGTAAAGGATTTGATATTATGATTAATTTATTATGATTATTTTTTGTAGCATTTGCACGCTTTATAAAATCAATTTAATCTGTTATTTATTCAGGGAATCGAGAGGTCAGGAAAATCTAGACTTTTAGATGCTTTCGTCATGAACGTTTGTAACAGACAAATAAAACCAATCAAACTTTCTCTTCATGTGACATACGCGGAGAAGTCTTATTCAGTTATATATCATATTATTTTGCAGGTACAAAATATTATTTGTTTTATTTTATAGATTTTTTTGTTAAAACTTTTTATAAAAATTTTATAAAATGGCTGGAACTAAAGAGAAGAATTGAGAATTCTGTTCTATCAATTTTGTTCTTTAGATTTTTAATCTACAAAACGTAGGATAAAAAAAAAATTAATTTTAATATTTTTTAAAATATTCCTATTTTTTTGTTTTTATCTCAACTCTTTTTTAATATAAATATTATAAATATTAATGCTAATATATATAAAGAATAAGGAAAATTAAATATTTTAAAATTAATTCTTGATTTTAAAAAATGCAATTAATTTTATAGAAAATAAATATCTATCAGTTTTCTTTACTAAACTTAGTTTTTGTAACAGAGACAAATTGCTTCAAATAACTGAAATTCCTTGCAGATACTTGAAGCTGAAGATTGCGAGACTGTTGAAGAACGTGAAGAGAAGTTACTTAATAAATTGTGTGACGTTCTCGCCTTGGAAGATTTTTGCTATCTAAATATTTTAATGAGAGTTCGTTTTCCTCTTTCCGATTCTTATTGCTTAGATACCGATTCGCAACGTCATATGAAGACTATCGATATCTTTAAAATAATATTAAAGCAGGCAATGTCATTTTTATCTTATGAATAAAGGATTCGGTACTATTTCTAAAATTGCTTTTATATGAATTAATGTAATCATTTATTACAGTTGAAGAGTAAAATCTGCATTTTGCTTGATGACGTTCAATACCTTGATCACAGATCCTGGCAATTTTTATCGTCGGCTCTTGATAATTGTAATATCGTCATAGCGATGACGATAGTGAGGCATCACTCTTGGGAAGATTTGTCCCATGTGGAAGTGGAGATTTACAAAGATAAAAGGCTAACGAATCATAATTTGCTCGGTCTAGATGTAGATCTACTCCCGGTATTTGCGTGTCAATTTCTGAATGTCCTTGCAATACCCACAAAATTAAGCAGGTATTGCCGCCGTTTGTTTTTACTCGTTTAGCTCAATATCATAAATTAGTTGAACAATGATAGGATTTCTATTAGGATTTTGGAAAAATGCCAGGATGGTCATCTCGGGTGGTGCGAGGCGTTGCTGACGTTGATCCTTCAAAGTAATGGTCTGAATTTCATTCAGATATCGCCCAGCAAAGCGTTACAACAGGATCTTGTTTTTCCAAATGGCAGTCTGGTGACAAGGCTACCGATAGATCTGACACCAGAGGAATTGGCGCCACCTTTATCCTGGTTGCAAAGGGATCTTTTAGATGTCTGTGTCATAAACGAGAATTTCGTTAAGATTACCAACAAAAATCGCGACATAACAGGCAAATCTAACATTTTATTAATCCTTTCGTATTACTTCTTAAGGCATCATAAATCTTTCATTATTTAATTACTTTATTTAATTTTTCACGAGACGACGAATCATGACGTATCGAGTGCAAAAACAAAACAATATTAGATTCGAAAAGATATTTTAAAATATACGGAACGTCTTTGCAATTATATGAAATTGCGCCGATCATTCTACATTAATTTGTTTATTAGAAATTTTCTCTAGAATTAAGAAACGAGATCTACAATAGAATGAATCCTTATGAGCAAGATTTCATTAAGTGCGCTGCCACGTTGGGCAGAGTGTTTAAACGAAGCATGATAGAAAATGTAATGTTGAATGCGATCCCACTGCACACCATTAAAAGTGAGTACCATTAATTGCAGCTCTCAGATGTCTTATTATAACTGAATTGCATGCTAGCTTAGATGAATCTCACGTAATTTCACAGCCGTTTCCGAAATGATTCGAATACGGATATTAGAATGTGCTTCTCTGCAGCGACGGGCTTTCTACACTCAGGATCTTATCCTTTGTATAGATAAAAAGCGGCAAACGTTCTCCAATATGCATCATTCGTTAGACTGCAATTGTCATGATTCACGTTAGTTCCACCTTTGAAAAGGATATAAAATATTTAATAATATATTAAGTAACATGATAGCGTCGCAACGTCAAATATATAAAGAAGGCGATAAGCCATATAATATTTAATATTAAAATTATAATTATTAATATACAATTAATAATATTAATAAAATTTAATATTTAACAATATCTAATAATATTTAATATTAAACTGATGAAAAGGTGCGCTTTTTATAAAGTTCTTATTAATAAAAACTTGAATCTGTGAAAAATAAACAATAAAAGAAATTGTAATAAAATTCGCACAATTCCGTAAATTCGTGATTTATAATGAAACAAATAATTCTGCCTCTCTAGGAGTTATCGTTAGCCGTTATCTCTTGCCTCTTCATGGTCATTGTAAAATGTTAGAGTTCAAAGTCAATGCATTTCATCAGATGATGTATGACATACAAACAGATGAAGAAAAGCAAGAATATCATACGAGAGCAGCTAAGATATGTGAGCCGGACGCTCGAAAATGTAATTCTTGCGGTAGCGGTCGTTTTCTGAAAATTCTCAACGAAGATGTACTTACAGAATTGAAGGTTATTTAGAATGATAATTAATTAATTATATTTTGAGCATGTGCTCAGAAAATAGATTTTTAAAATTTATAAGTAAAGTTTATAAATAAATTAAAAATTAAAGCACTTAAATACTTCTTAAAAATGAAGTTTATTATTAAATTTCCTAATTTATTATTAATTTTTCTAACTTTGTTGAAAAAATTGATTCGTTTGATATTCTTAAAAGGAACAAATTTCAAAACCCAAAATTGTGTTGGTACGTCGTCGAACGCTTATCGAAGATAAATGGATGAAACCTATGACAATACTTCCAGAATCGACAATACAAACAATTTCTGCAAAGAAAAAAAGCAATTCTGTTAATATTTGTAGGATATCTATTATGCCGTCAGATATTGATGATGAAGAAACTGAAGGTAATAATTAATGAATATATTTACTTTAAAATTCAATTTTTTAATTTTTTTAATTTTAAACATCAATATATTTTTACAGTAATTTTCAAAAACGGAGACAAGAATAAACATGACAGAATAATGTTTAAAAGGCGATCTAGTATTTTTCCAGAAATGACAGATCCTTCTGATCCAAGCTTATTAGAAAAGTTTAATCATATCGATTATCGTAATTGTCGATGCAATAATATTATCAGCTATCTTTTTTGGAAGTTGCGTGAGCATATTGAAAAAAGTGGTAAATTAATAATGTTTTAAAAACAAAATTTTAAAAAAATTAAAAAATGTATTAATAAAAATAATCAAAATATTTTAAGCACAATTTTACAATACGTAAAAGATTGATAATATTACATTAATTATTAGATTCTTTATTAAATTATATTCTTTAGGAAAAATCGACAAATTACTCGAGTTTTTTATACAGTACAGCGCCGGAATGATCCAAATTGCGCAACCTCTTTATGCCATTAAGTTGCTTTCAATTGCCGCTGAAAGAAGTAAGGCCGTCGAAGTGAACGAGTCGATCGATAAGAATACAGAAGACAGTAATAAAGGAATTATTCTAGCTTTAATGGGTCCGTAAAACTTTACGAAATATTCTGCATAAAATAAAATATTCCTATTTATTAGGCATCGTTCCGCGGAAAAATTTCTTCTAAAGAGAATATATCATTATTTGTCATATATTTTAATTATACTTAGGTGATGCTCACAATGCATTAGGAAATTATGATCAAGCTAAAAAATATTACCTCTTGGCGGTGAAACTGCGAGGTGGAATTCCATTTAAAAAAAAAGACATCTGTTATAACATAATGTTAAAAATGTTTTGTAAACTACATGATCTTCCTGATAATTATACATTTGATGAAAAATCAAATCAACTCATTATAAAGAAATTGGAATTGGCATCGTACTTACGACGTCTTTGCGTCGGATTCATAGTACATAGCTAATATAGCTTTTTATTTTTATGTAAAGGATTTAGTCAAGTAAGATAAAATTGAAAAGAAAAAAACGATTAAAAAGAAAATATACGCTATATAATTTTTAGGAATTTTTTTATTGTTCTAATGATTTTTATTATAAAAAGTGTAGTGAGAATAATTTTTGCGTAATTTTTTCTAGAGAGAAAACAAATTGAAAAAGGCGCAGTCGTTTGCCTTGAGAAGTTTCAAGCTCGCGTTTTTAAATATTAACAGTTTTCTAGAGAAAGGGGAAATATATCTCGCAACAATACGAGTTTTGCATTGCACAAGAAACATTAAGTTAATACAACGTATCGATAGACTAATGCTAATCACAATACAAAGAAAAGATATTTGGAATGATGTCGAGGAAGTAACGATGGTGGCAAATATTTATTTAACGATGTATCAATTTAGGTATAACGTCTTAAATTTGATGCATGAATTAATTTACATTTTTTAAATCATTATTTAATTAATTTATATTCCTTAAATATTTTGCACATGTGAAAATAGAGTATTAAGAGGTAAATTGGAAAAAGCCGTATTAATAGGTATAAAGGTCTTGAAAATATCTGAAACATTGCATCTTAAGAAACTAATGCTGATTATTATGCCCTCAATAATTCAAATAATGGTATTGCTTGAAATTAATATCTATTCTCATAAATCTTTTGTGTATCTATGTCATTCAATGTAAATTTCCTAAACAACGCAAAGATCCAAAATTAAAAAGAAATTAATCTTCCGTTTGTGTATTTTAATATTTTTAATTTTAAATATTTTTAATATTAATATTTTTATAATAATATTTTATGTAGACATCTTTTGGATCTTTTCACGTTATTTAGGACGCATGTCGTTGTTCATTACGTATAATATTTTTTGCTTAATAATTTGATTAGCTATGGACCAGACGTGTCAATGAAGCTGTCGACTTGATGCGGGAATTATATTTTTTGGCAGACGAGGATATAGATTTGTCAGCTAAGACATGGTATTATGCTCTTTCTTTAGATCTCCTGCTGGATGCAGGAATAGTATTGGAATTGTACGAGACATCTTATAACTATTATGTGAAATTTATTGGTAATAACTGTAATGCAGTATGTATAGATATTATTAAAATTAATAAATAATTACCTATTTATAATTTTTTACAGAGGATGTCCCGCAATCACCATACAATATTCTAATATCATATTTTAAAAATTATTTATACGCAAAAATCAAAAATCAAAAATTAAAAATAACATAATTTTCAAGTTACGAATGATCAAATTAATACCGCGCACATTCAGATTATATTTGTGTTTACACATGTATCAATTTGTCATATAATACTCTTATAACAATATTTTAAGATTTCCAATTCTCTAATTAATATTTTACATTAACTTAATTATTAAATTGTATTGTAATTGTGGAACAGTTCATAAGTATAAATTATTTTTAACACTTTGACTGCTAAACTGATTTCGGCATTGAGCTTAATTAAATCTAATAACCATTTTAATATTGGACTATTTTTTTTTAATATTTTAATATCTTTTACATTATTTCTTTGAAATGTCTTAAATTCTTAATAAAATTATTCTTAATGTGGAAAACGAAAACATCATTCATAAATGAATAATGAAATTCTCGTGAAAGTGTTACAAATTTTGCATCAACCAAATCTAAGTGAAACGGCAATTAAAGTGTTAAAATGCTGTATTATTTTAACTCAAAAATTGTACAGCTTCCAGAACCAAATTTCGCGTATACCGTGATCCACAAAGCCTGTGTCACTTATTGACAGGTCTGTGGATTTACCAGCTTAGAATGTAAGTATTTGTTTTTTATGCTCGCATTTACTAGCTATAAATCAAAAGCTATTTAAAAATGATAAACTTTTTCTTATTAAGAAAGTGAACCTTTATAATTCCTGTCTTCTAAAATTTCCTAAAATTTCTAATCCTGTTCTTAATCTTAAAAACTCATTAATTTTCCAAGAGCCTTATTTCGTCTTTGACTTTAAGATAATTGAATATATATTGTTTGAAGTGTTGTACTAAAAAATACATTAATATTATAATAGGAATCAAACGGTTTCTAATGCATTTGCATGCAGTGCGGAAAAATATGTGAAAGATGTCACTTGGGATGACTTTTCTCGAATTCTTATTTGTAGCAAGGTATGCCTAAACTTTCAAACGTTTACAATTTTATACTTCTTATAAATTAAATTCTACAATTCTTTTTCTTGGAATAAATTTCTTTTTCTTTGAATAAATTTAATCAAATTTCTCAAAAAAGTTGTAATTTTACAAATCTATCATAAAGAATCCATTGTCTTTTGCTCTCGAGATTAGTTATCAGATATAGTAATAATAATAATAAATGTATTACATACAATATGAGAAGTAAACAATGAAAATAATTGTAAATAAAACGATACAATTAAATGACGAAAATAAAAATAAATTATATTTATTTATTACTGCTCTTCTTATCTATATAACATGGAAAAATTATTTTGTTTCAATGCAATGCTTTAGTGCATTTTTTTTAGGGATTCGAGTGTTACTTGCTACTATTACTGCACTGCATCAATACGAAGTACTCTAACGAGCCATATAATCTTGTTCAAGATATTTCCAAAATTAGAAAATGCCTCAAAAACATTTCTAAGTATGCGAGATTTATAAAATCACGTTTATATTTGTTGATGGCATATTTGAATGTTCTTCGGAACTGGAAATCGAATACACGGATCTATTTGTACAAAGCACAGAAATTCGCGATTTTACAAGAAAACCAATTGATGAAGGCATGGATCATACAAAATAGAAGGGTAATAAATTTAATTAAAAATAATTAGGTTTTTTTAGTTGACAAATAAAATAAGTTAAACCTTTACTTTTCAATTAATTTATCTTTAATGGCAATATTGGTGGATAATAATGATTGATGGATAAATAAGTGTTCTATGTGGTATGACAAATTTTTTGTTGCAGACGTGGAAGGAGAAACTTTATGATAATATGGCGCGATACTGGTTGGAATACATTAATTCGACAGATATCGTGCCTTGGCAATATATTCGTAACTTTAACGTCGAAACGTGGTCCACTATTCTTTATTTTTTACCAATGCCTGATGCACACTCGTAACGAACAATGAAAAGCACAATCTCTTATGTAGCATATTATTCTCCTATCTATTGCAATTCATTATCTTCATAGATACTGGTTAAAAACGGAAAGAAGATGTTCTAGCGAAATATTTATTTATTAAAGGCATATTACATTTTTATGTTCTAAAAGATAAACACGACGATCCCCTCGTGCGCACGATCTTCGTGTCGAGGAAATTTTTTCGATCCTTTTCTATTTTCCACAAAATGACCTCCGCGCATGATGAATCTCGATCTCGTCGCGAGTTCCGCTTAAATACGAATGTTTCCGGTGACCGATTGTTTACACTTACATCTTGACGATTAATTATTACGTATTGCGATTTAATTAATTGCTCTATTTGGCCGAATTTGGCCGAGTACGCCAAGGATATTTGCGAATATTCGAGAAAAAAGAACGTAGAAAATGAGAGAAAAAGAACAAAATAGAAAAAGACAGAAATTGTGAGAAAAAAAATGAGGAGAAAATATAGAAAAGCGTAACAAAGAATATATTTAAAAGATAATTTATTGACTGCTCTACTTTCGTAATTTATTGACCGTTCTACATTGGCTTTGAAAAAGATAGAAAGGAAAAAGGATACAGGTTACAAAAGGGATACAAAAGGGATATTTTAAGTTTTAGGTATTGTCCACGCAATCTTACACACACGATCTCTCTTTTGTCGGTATATCATTAATTTAATTTAATTTATTCTTGACATTCCATCACTCTCTAATTCAATTGCTTCACTTATCAATATCAATCCACCGCCCAACTCGCAATCGCTTATAAAAAAAAATTTAACCAATTTAATCTATGTGTTATAATCACTTATAAGCTAAATATTTTTTTTCCTTCACAAAATGAATTTTAAACTGCTACTGATGAACTTCCGTTCAGTTATAAATCTGCTGATTAATAAATGTAACAATATTTCGATTTGTTTAAAAGTTCACGATTGCGAACGCGATTCTGATTTGATCCAGCGTGAAACGGGAACTTTGCGAGATCCTACTCATCGTCAGCATAAAACTTGCATCGGCGTACTCGGCCCGAATGTGTCCGTCGGGACACGCGCGTGTAATACTTGAAGTTACCTATCCGAACAGAAGAGTATCTCCCCTCGCGCGCTACTACAATGCTTCCCAAACAATGCGAAAGTCCAAAAGATGTGATCTAAATATTAGTTTACAAGGCTGTCTAAAACGCGGCGTGACCGAAAGATTCGGATTAGACATTTGTTTCTCAGATGTCTTAAAAGATTGGAAACTTCTTTCAGATCTTTGAGAAACTCTCACGTTTGGAAGATTAAGATCTCGTTTAAGCATCTCTTTTAGATATTCGCGTTGTCTGGGTCCGTTGCTCGTTCGATGGGACTCTCCCCGATCGCAACGAAATTTAAATCTTCCCTTCATGTAACTCATTCGTGGGCGTCGACTTCGTTGTCGATGCGACTGCTACGTATACCGGTCTTGCCTGTCCAAGGATAAATGTCCGGGCATGCTTGGCAGGTCTTCATGTATCTTACCCCACTCTTATGCCAAAGATTGCAGACCTTCGCGTTATTGCATTTCTTGGGTCGGTCCTGCATCATATTTGCCGTAATGTAATAGAGTTCTTATAGACCGCGCAAAATTACACGTAAATTAAAGCTAACTCAAGAATTGTTGTTGTTATTATTATATTAAAAAAGATTTATAAAATATTATTATTGTAAGATAAATAATGTTTATGATAATTTTAAGGTTAAATAATTATTAATTACTTTGCAATGTTAATTTATCACGTTTTAACTACAGTTACCGAAATGTAATAAAATTGATATTCCAATTTAAGAAATAATAAAAAATAATGTTTCAAATTTTTTAAATAAATTGTTTGCAAAATAGCTCTAGTAAGGTAAGAGTTAAAAAATTGCAAAAAATCTTACCGGATAATGGCATCCAAAAGGTTCGAACGTGTGTAAAAGCGCCAGAGGCGTTGGATTCCTGATCCATTGTATGGCCTGCCAATTAGTAATTACCCATACGTCATCCATCGCGACAATGGTGTCGAGAAACGATATGAAACCTTCTTTATGATGCGGCTGAGTAAACCATGCGGCGTGATAGAACAGACCGAAAGGCGCCCTACGGATCGATAAAACGCATCGATAAAACGAGTTACGAGAATATTAGTACAAAAATAATTATCAAATTAAGAAAATTTATAAATTTATTTTACTTTAAATTATTTAAAATATAAAAAGGAATTTTTTTTTATTCAAATAATTATTTTCCGCAACTTAAGAGTTTTATTGAATTTTATGAAAAGAAATTAGAAATTTGTGTGATGTGAAAGAAATAATGTTAAGAATACAGATATTGAACAGAGAAATTAATTCCATCTCATTTTTTTCAATTGTTGTCTAATAATCGCGTATACGAATAGCATGAATCACTTTACCAACCTATTAGTCGTGTAATGCCTTTCGAAGTTCTTAATGAGCATCTTATATACGCCGTCCGGAGTCGGTGGGTTACTACAAGCATCTCCCATGGAGCATCTACCTCCATTGAGATCTTGCCACATTACCATAGGAACTTCCCACAATCCTGGATAGGATCTCGTGGGACAGGGTGGTATCATACAGTCGTGGAAGAGCTTGTAATCTAGCGTGTACGGCCAACTGGGCGGTCGGTTCTCATAGATCGGCATGGAGGAGTCGTACGTGAAGTTTGTGTCCCAGAGCATTTTGAACATATTGTTTCCCCCGACCTGCGTCACAAATAGCGTACAATAGCGTTACACAGCCGCAACTTGCTCTCGTGAATGGCGAAGAAATCCTTTATGATCTTACAGAGAAGTTTTTGTCGAAAAGAGTTATTCTATGATTGTTACCACGTACATTTTACATAATATGTTTTTACGAAAATAAGAAATGATGAAATGATTATTACAAGATAATTACCGATAAGAAGGGTGCTCTCATTCCTCTGACATCCTCCAATTTGACGCCTCCGTATGCAGACAGAATTTCGCGCTGTCCAGCAACTTCTCGCGCCCACTTTCGCGCCGAAAACTGTTCGCCGAAACTGTGCCTATTGCAAAGATTTATCGTCGTGTCAATCACTTGCGGGTTACGAAGAGTTAAACTCTCTCACGACGCACCGATCCATGGCTGACAACACGTCGGAAACGCTTTTCTTTCTTTTCATTTTTTTCTATTTTGATTACGTAAAGACGTCTTTCATTCGAACGTTTGGCTTTTGCAAAATGACGATATCGACAGCTGACGCATAAGCAAAGTTGGAGATGATTTTGCAAGAACCAAACGAGCATGGTTGTTATGTCATTATGTTACGTACATTATGTGCCTTTTATATTTACGTATCTTTTATAAACTTGATAAAAGCGAAAAAGGTATCGAAATTAAATACAAGAATTTCCGAACGTGTGTCGAGCGTCACATCAATCATTCAACATTCAAAGCGGAAGCGATTTGTTGATTGATTCAATAAGCATGAATGTGACTTATTAACTTCTTCATTAGAAAACCAAGCTAGTGTTAGCTTCATTATGTAAAAAAGAATTATGTAAAAAAAGACGATAACTATTTAACGCCTTTAAGACGATTATAATTAATTTGCATCTGTCCGCGTGATGTTAAATGACAATATGAATGATTGTTGAATAAGCATGATTACTCGAAGTCGAAATGCACTTGATTTCATGAATAAGAATAATAACAAAATCTCAATTAACTATTAACTTTGCATATTTTTACGTATTTATTTATTAAATATTATTGTTAATATACTACCTACTAACATAAATTGCAATATATATAATGGGAGAAACGATTGATATTTAATTGTGTAATTATCGATCCGTTTAAATGCTAATTTATGTGTATATTTTCTGATTCAAATGTGTTACATGAAAACATAATTACGATAAATAAATATCAATGGCAAAAGATTGAAAAATCTTCCGTGAAGAAATATACATCGGGCAATACATTAGCAACCACGAGATTATGTAATTTATGTGCGCGTGGCGCTCGTTTAATTAAATGAAAATAAAAACCGTGTGCTACTTCGCCTGCCCGGCGGCGAACACTGTTCGCAGATCTTAATGACGATTCGATTACTTACGAGACCGTGTGGGAGGCAATCTCGTGGCCTGAGGCATAGAGATTTTGAACCTGGCTGTAGTCGGTCCATTCGTGGGACACGTAGAAGGTGGCCGAGATGGGACAGCCGTTGGGATTCTTTCGTCCCTTCTCGAACAGATCGGAGTAAAGACCCTTGTTCAAGTCGTTCACGGAATCGTCGAATGTCAAGAGGACGATTTGCGGTATTTCCTCCGGTAGGTAGTCACCTGTTCGTTACAGGATCGCGTTTAGGATTTAGGAAAGGAAGGGGAGGGGGGGAGAGGAAGGCGAATACAAGAGAATTAGGACACGCGTTCGAGATCGTGTTGAAATGTGTGTCATAAATGTTTTTTTTTTTTTTTTACGGACGTGAATATCGATGTGATAAGTTTTTTGAATGTTTTTTTTTTTTAATGACATACGTGTGAAGATGTGTCGGTTAGAGTGGCGCGTGATGGGAATGAGGAGCATGGCGAGGCGTGAAATGAAAGAGAGAAAGAGAGAGAAAGAGAGTGAGAGAGAGCAAGAAAGAAAGAACACAAGAGAAGGCGTTAGTTATGCATCATTAGTATACACGACACAGGTGTGTCGTACGCGCCACTGGCGTACTGGTGAAACCGCGGTTTACGGCGTGTTGCTATCGGACCTCGCGATCCCTCATTTGAAAGATCGTCAATCTCCTATTTGATGAAGGTACACTTGCGGTTTCACCAGTTGTACGCAGCAATATGCATTTTCATCGTCCCCACGGAGGATCCTCTAATTGCACGATGCCACTTTCGAAGAAGCTTTCTTAAATAGTAGGCAGAAATTCGCGAACGTATTTCGCGAACGGTTTACGGCTGAGAAGTGCTCGGAGATACAAAGATTCATTGAATCTTGAGCAATTGAAGGTCTCAAAGAAATTAAAAAAAAAAAAAATCTCTCCTTTCTAACAGTAGTTTAAGTATTAAGAACTCACTCCACACAGATCGGCAGATTTCAGAATTTAAAAATTCAAGGGAAACCAGGAGAGATTTCTCAAGATGTTTCCAATAACCGAGAAATTCGAAAAACTTGACGTTCAAGAATTAAAAAATAAATAATCCCGTGAAATATTAAATAGCCCGTGAAATTGACGAAGCTCGAATAATCTAGTTGTACAATCCAATCGAATTAAAGGATCCTTCGTGAACGAATGCTTTCCCGATTTAACGCCCGTTTGGAACATTCTCCAAGAAAAGATGAACAAATAGAAATCAGTACGTTAATTGTATACATGTGATCAACGGAGAACAGACGTTCGATGCGAGCTCTTTTGGTTAAAATAGTGCAATAATGTATGATATCCCCCGATGTTAATGCACTTGCTTTCGTAATACATTTTTATCGACTTACGAGACCGTGTGAGACGCCATTTCGTGGCCGTCTGCATAGAGATTTTGCACCTGGCTATAGTCTGTCCATTCATGCGAGACGTAAAAAGTTGCTGCGATCGGGCAGCCGTTCGGATTCTTACGACCGTTTTCAAACAGCTCGCTGTATAAGGGTTTGTTAAGGTCGTTTACGCCATCGTCGAAAGTGAGCAGTACGATCTGCGGCGTCTGCTCGATCGGAATACCACCTGTGCGTCACAGTTGCATTATGTAGCTCGTGATACGATCACCAAAGCTGTGTCATGTTCCTCAGCGAAATCAAGAAATATTATTTCTATAATGATTAATCACATCTTTAAAAAAAAATACGACGCCGCGATTTCTACAGAGATTAACTACAATTAGATTAACAAGATATGAAGTAAAACAATCGTTTAAGTACTGAAAATAGCAGAAATTAGCATTTGCTAATACATAATCTTGTTAGTATTTTAATGTTCTATCTTCGTTACTAATTACAAATGAACTATTTATACAAAATTAACAACGCCTGCAAATTAGTGCAAATTAAAATCTTGATTATAGCCAAAGCAATACTACTTGGTACGAAAGTTGAATTAGTTAACAGTCTTTCTTAGGCAATAATTCACTTGCAAGAATTTTATAAATCCACAATTCTTATGAACGAATGTTCTTCAGGTATTAAAATTTTTGAGAAAATCCGAAACTTCTAGCAGTGATCGTAACACGTGCTCCTTTATTCTCGAATGCAAGAAATCGTGTTCTCCAAACGTTATCTCGTCGAGCGAAAGTAAGGCGACATTCAATGATCCGATATCGAAATTTTTCTGCTGCATTTTATGCTTAATAAATAAAGTAATCGGGCATATTACGCATCTATTGATCATTTGATAGACACCTTCCGGAAATGCAAATTGTTTTCAATTTCGAAGGGCGACGCACGCTACGAGTGTATCGGGCGTAGATCTGTTTCACTTTCGAGCGTACTATGTAACGGTCGGTATGTATGTATGTAACATTAGAGAATCGGAGAAAGTCACGGCGAGGCCGTCTATGTCTAAACCGTTCGTCAAACTTAACATTCGCGGCGCGCGATCGTTTGCGTAATGCCCGGATTTTTCGCCTGACATTTCGCCCACACGATCAAATCGTGCCTCGTTACATCCTCGCCCCTCTTCAATCCTTCCGTTGGAAGGTGACAAAATTCGGTGACCTTTAAACAAGATCTGTTTTGCAAAACGTCCCACTTCCTCATTTACATTCAGTCGGCAAGCGTCCAGACTTCCGGCACGCGGAATGCAAACTTTTCCGTCTCGTGTTTCTCTAGCTCGCAGAACGTCATTTCCGGTCTACTTAAGTAATCGGAATGATCAAATTGATCGTTCCAGAAACGAGAATTTAAACCAGTTCGTGTAGCATCCATTGAAGATATTTGCAAAAAAAAAATTTCACGGTTATTATTAATTTACTTCGGTCGCGGACTTTAAACTTTAAATCACGTAATTTTGTGTTTATTTCTAGATGTAAATAATTACAAGCGAGTAAGTTGAGTCAATGTTTCCAGGCGAAGGTTTAATGAACTACACGAGTGGTTTTCACGGCAAGGCTGATTATCACCGTATCGCTAAATTACCTGGTATATCGGAGCCGCCGCAGCTGCAATCCGGAAGCAAACAGACATCTCTGCGACATTTCGCCGCCGGTTTGTCCACCTGAGGCGTTGGATAGATAGGCGCCGGTCTTATCGGAGGGTACCTGTAGATGTCAATGAACTCCTGTGCCTTCGAAACTATCTCGGTAGACGGCTTCAAGGTAGGTCGAGATCGACTGGAACGTTTAATTAAAGTTGAAAGGATTGAACAGTAATCCTTGGGTCATCGTATCCTACATATTTCTTATCTTCGAAAAACTCTCTTCTTTTCTTCAAAGGACTTTCAAATAATTAGTTATAAAATTTATATAAATTTTGTTTAAATACACAACTTTATAAATATTTTCTAAAGACGTAAAGTATATCTCTCAATAATTTTTGTATATTTGTTGAATTGATGAAAATTAACTCAGAATGATCCATCGTGTGTAGTAAAAGACCGGAAGATCATCGTGTGTACTAAGGATTAAAGAAATTGTCGGATAATATATACTGTTCTGCATTTAAAAAACAGATTGAAAGTGAGTAATCTCAATACTGCGGTGTCATCATGAAACGCTTGCGGATTTATGAGTGGCACGAGTTGTACGTCAGCTAAATCATGCCTCGTTGAAGAAAGTGAATTGACAATGAACTTACGGCGGTGCCGTGCCTCGATGAATCTGCTGCGGCCGATCTCGGCTGAAAAAAAGAAGAAAGAAGGAAAATTAGAGCGCAAGATAAGATCCGAGAATTTCCGGTGGCAGTGAATAAGGAAAATGTTCGTTTACTATGTCGCGGAGAAAGCGACGGACTTCGTTTTGCCGAGAGACCGAGAGGCGAAATCGGGTCTCGGCCGACGGAAATCGGCACAGGGCCGTCTTTTTCGTGCATTGCACCATGCGCATTAGTCCGGTATGAAGACTAAAGAAAATTGTTCGTCGTGTACGAACGTTACGTGATTCAATTCGACGAAGACACTTAAACCTGACAGGCGTAACTGGCGTCCTCGAAATGATATAATTCAAGAAGTTATTCAGAACAAACAAAGAGTTGACGAGGTTGCTTCATAAAGCACATGCAACGCGATAAATTTGTTTGAGTAGAAATGAATCTCTTTTACAACTTCATATTGAAGATCGAGACAATGAGTTCTCTAAAATTTATTCGTCCTTATATGTGATAGATATATAGTAAATTTGAACATGTTTTACACTATTTAAAGCACTTATTGTGGAAAAAGAATTAATTAAATGCTATACCTCGGTGCATTGATGGTGTAGGCTCTGCCGGTCGTGCTCGGAGTCTGCGTGCTCGTAGTCAGAGGTATAAAAGTGTCTACGATGACATTTGGTGTCGTCACGTGAACCACGGGATGACTGAGCACGTTTGTCCTGCATTTGCAAATGAATTAATGGAATCACGACATCACGTAATTGCGAATCTTCGATCCATTCCGGATAAAAATCGGCGGGACAGGTCTTGACCGACTTAGCCTCTTACACGCGGCGATTATTTTTAAACGGTGATTAGACGCGACAACCTCGCGCGATGGTGTGAACATCGACACTTTTAAATGATAAATCTCAATATCGCGCGAGAGAGATGCCATGTCCATTAGCGAGAATGCGGTAGATACTAGAGAAATCATTTCTTAAAATAACAGCGAATTTTTAAGAGAAAAGATGTATATTGTTAAACACATGAATGACAAAGAAGACACGGGAATCAATTAAGTCAGGATTTTACTCGTATATACCTATATTACTTTAATCTTCTTGAAAAGAAATATGATTTTCTAATGATAAAGTTCGATAATAATTACTATATTTAAATGCAATATTAATTATATAAATATCAGTATAGGATAAAATCACTTTTGAATATTTCAAGTTGCAATAAAGTTTGCCAAACGTGCGAAATTCTGTGTATATTATTATATAATAGAATGAAGAAGCAATTTTCTTACCTGAACTGTTGACCATCGGAAATGCGGAATTTATTCTTGTTCAGCTGAGCCTGAAGTATGAAACAAAAGAAAGTATTCTTAGATATATGTGAAACATTCCTTCCAACAGGAACAAAGCAATTTTAACAGTCTTGTTTAATTCGTTGTTGCATGTAATACGTATTCATACCTGATTTTCATAGATATCATAATCTTGTATGTCGTGATTCAAATTATACTTGTCTGCCTCATTCACGGCGATCTTCTTCGGTTTCTGGTATTGCTTCGTGTTTACCTCGCTAATTTTCACGTTTGGCTGCTGCACCGGTACTGATTGATTGATTGTATATTGATTATAATCTATGTAAAATAATACAAGATCATTTAAGATTATGCCAGTAAGATTATTTATTTGCAAAACATTAAGATAGATCTCATTTATCACTATCATCCATATATTATGAGTTATATCTGACGTATATTTATCAATTCTTCCAATTAATAAAAATTAATTTTAAAAAAGATTTAAAAAATAAAATATAGATCAAAATTTAACAAAGATTTTTTGTCTTAGTTTTTCAAATTCCCAATTTTTGTTTAATTGTAAAACAAAGGTTTCGATATATCGACTAAAAATAATAAAACACAAAATTACTTTATACATTAGTCTTGAGTATACAAATTTTTCAAAGTAATTCAGAAGATTGCTTACCGTCATCTTTATAAACAGAAACATCATCGTCGTAAATCGTGTAATATGGATAACTCTGATCTGGATCACTATAGTAAGCCTTGGACAAAACCGGTGCCACGGTAGAGGCTAGTGTTTTAGCAAGCCTCGATGATTCAGTGGTTGGAACAGGCGTTCTAAAGTGTGGAAAGAAATTAATATAGTAAAAGATAACGTAAAGTACTCTGTTTGTGTTACAGTGCTTTCGTGATGAAACGTGCTACATATCGGAGTATCATTTTATTATGTAAAATTTTAATCAACAGAACGATACCATCAGAGAGATGGCCGATTATGCATTACTGCGGAGTATTAAAGTTTTGCAGAGAGAAATCACGGCCAAATTAAGAAGTCTTACTTCATCGCGATGAAAATTATTCTCTTTTCTCAAGTGATTTGTAACTTCATTACTAACCTGTAATGAGACTCAGCTTGGGCACGTGAGTTTACCAGACTATCCTTCTCCCTACCCTAAAACACACACAACACTGTAAATTCAATAGCTAACAGTATCCTTGAATCGCATATTCATGGCTAATTGATCAAATTCACTTCGATATTAAATGAAACGTATCACCTATTGAATGCAAACTTTCTATTTGTATTTTCTCTAAAAAAGAACCATTAATATCTCTATAATATATGTTTACGCAGTTAAATCACAAAGCATTAAATGTTTTTACTAATAAATCGTTTAATTTATTTAATTGTTTAATTGTTTATTATTTCAAACTACATTTCGCGCAATTAGAGAATGTTTATTTTAAGAAGAGGATTATTTGTTGTGAAGTGCACATCTTTGGATATTATTTAAATAACAATTTTATAAATTAACTTCTAGAATTAATGGACCGTCAAGAGACGTTAAATAATAAATAAAAAAATTTAAATCACGAGGGCTCAGTAATTATTGTAACTCACCGATATTATATTCCGTCGCAGACCATCGCGATCTCGCTGCACCTGGCCGATCGTCGAAGGTTGTCCCCGGTACACTCGTTGCTGCCGATCATTTTCGACTTCCGAGGCGGGACCGTACTCGTCATCATGGTAATTCGTCCTCGAGTGCTGTCGTCTCAGTTGCCTCTCGGTGATCTGCGAGACCGACGGCGATGCAGTTGTAACCGTGATCGGCTGTCTCTGGATCGGTCGTTGTTGTTGCTGCTGTTGCTGCTGATCTCGTAACTGTTGCCGTTGTTGGTGTTGCTGTTCTTGCAGCGTCTCGAGTTTCGCAGATCTACGATTGCGACGGTTCAATTTTAAGAGCAATTCGATCGCGAGAAAATTGATTTTTCAAGAAAACAAAATTGAGCGCTAAAGCAATGAGATATCTTCTTTGTCAACATGGAGAATTGCATGTAATGCCAATGCTAATGTAAGACAATTGCATATAAATATGTGGTAAGCGAGTGGACCTACATTTCCGTACAAGAGTCGCATAGAAATAAACAAGATAATAAATATACTCAGCCGAGGAAGAGACAATTTTAGAATTTCAAGTATCTGCTTTCTATGCCGTTTGGAAGCTAACAGTGAAAAACGATTCTCCTGTTAACATTCTTGCGGAAACGTCGCATAATAAAGATTATATGTTACCGCGTAGCTATCTTCCTAAGGATTTCTTTTTAAACGGTAAGGACACCCGGAATTCGAGACGAAGCATACAGTTGAGAAACTCTTGCGCGTTGCCCAACTTCGGTTTTATGTAACGAGAGACCTGGCTGTCGTTCTTGCTCGAAAAGATCTCCAATTTCGTGTACAAATACGTACACGTTTTATTTATACATGTAACAAATTAATTAATGATAAAACGAACAACTCGGTTGCCCTGTTTTGCCTTCTTTGCGTTTTTACCTGTCTAAAAGTAACAAGAATGTCACCTGTCTTGTTATATATTTTTTCAATTTTCGTGATCTGTGATAATGATAAACGGTGAGTAACAAAAAAAAAACAACTATTCCTGCGATACTATTTTCTGGAATACGCGATTGCTCCGACGGTGTTTATTTTTATTCTAAAAAGTCATAATTAAATTTAAAATTAGAGTAATTTATGTTAGAGAGTAATAATAATAAGAAACGAAAGCGAATCCGTGAGGGTTTACAGGCGGAACGAAGTGGCCTCCAACAACAAGCCTGTCGTTTGAATGTACGTATTTTTTATCAGCTAATACTCGTCAATATCTCTCTTCTTTCACGTCGAATCGAGAGTATTTGAGGATTGCGAGCGAAATGCTTATTCGATGTGTCTGTAATCGCGAGAAAACGCGATCGCGAAGTTGTTCTATCGAAACTAATGGTTCTCTCCGCGGGTCTCCCCCGTACGAGCTACGCTATCCAATCCAATCGCCTTAATCGACTACGCTCGCGCTGTTTCTCTTTCTTTTCACTCTCACTCTCGCCTTTTTCTACAATTGGCTGTCGCGAGCGTGGGTGAAGCTCGCAAACGCGCGTGTGCCTGCGCGAGCGGACCCATTGTTTTGCAATCGTCTTGAAAATTAAATCTCACGTGTGGAATGCAATGCTACTACTCATATCATTTTTGTAGTGAAACACACTTTGCAAAAAAAAAAAACGCTTTGTGTACGTGACGTTCTTATATTTCCATATTGTGACGTGGCATGTAAGCCATGAGGAAATGCAAAAATAATGCCAGGGTACATATAGATATTTTGAAGACAATTTTATAATAAAATAGATTGTATATATTTTTGTAACCTTCCGAAGATGATATCAAAATCTATAACACAGGCGCTGAGTCTGTCAGATCCATTTAGTTTATACCTATATTGATAATAAAAGATAATAGTTTCAAAGAATCAAAATAATTCAACTTGTATAAAAAAGAATAATTATTAACAATAAGTTTATTTTAATAACGATAATTCAAATTTACAGACATTCAAATTTAATAAAGAATATAATTGAGTAGATTCAACTAAAGTTCTAGATATATTAAAGTATTCCATTTTCAATATCAAAGGTCCTCCATTTTTTGTCTTTCGATTCGCTGACTATATCATTGCATCTACCAATAAGCATTTATTGAATTACAGACTTAGATCCAAAATGGCTATTGAAATAGTCAATAAAAAAGTTGTCGGCATTTCGGCTTAGAAAAAAGACGTGCACTACTTTGGTATATCTAGAGTCTTAGGTTCAACCAACTCACCGTCAGTTCCGGAAAGTTAATGCAGGTTTATAATTATTAATATGATTAAATATTACACTGTAAATATTTTTCAAGGTATTTTATCGATATAGGTAGATATCGATATAATTATAACTCACCTTTCCAGCAGAGGATCCTCCTCGACCTCCTTGTTGGACGAATCTCCTTCTGGGCAGCCTACGTTTCGCGGCCAGTCACATGTCTGCAAATCGTGGCTGAGGAAAAGAAGGCAAGCGATTCGAATTTTTCAGTATCAAATCGTTAACATTCATTAGAATCATTAGCTACTTACAAGCACAGCTTTACCGGCGATCACGCGAGTTCTCGCACCCGTCGTGTCATTAAAGTTACATTTGTACAACGCGAGACGTATCATTTCCCATTTCGCTTATTTTACGTTACGTTCCTTTACACACAACTTGACATTTTTCCCTCGGTTACGCGAAAATTATCCTACATGGTTCTCTTCCGCTACTTACGCGTCACGCTAATTAAGACTCATTTACTTGCCATAAGTAAATGTACGTGCGACATACATACGACGTAAAAGAGCAAAGCTTTTATTTTCGAATTAAGGAGAATATTCTTGGAGTCATCTGTAATGTATGTGACATTTCAATAGCATTATGACATCTAAGAGTATCTATGGGAATTCTAACTCCTTTGATCTAATCGCTCGTTATAAAACCTTTTATTGGACGTGTAACGCCAAAAAAAATTAGTAATTAAGTGGTAAAATGTTCAAACGATTTATGCGAATGCAGAACAAGCGTTTCCTGTTTTCTGGACAGACACCCGTCTATCATCGAGAGCCACGTTTGGTGCGTCGTTCATGGAACCACCGTCAAGTTTACCCGTACTTGGATATCGCGTTACCATTAAACACCTTGGGCTGTATTAACCGGCTTCAACACGGCGAACTCGTTCGCGCTCGTTCGTATCGGGCAAGGTGTGGCTGATCAATTTTTTTCCTTTTCTCCAGGGTTACGCGTACGACCCCCTTTTACCGTGCAAATCCACGGTGGATTGAAAGTAATCCATTGCGCTGATATTCGGCAAGACATTCTCGAATTATTTGCAAAATGTATTAAGAGCTGGATTACGTTCTTATTTTTATTTTTATTTTTATTAAGATACATGATCGCGTTATATTTAGCTTTAAATAAAGACTTCATTTTATCGTTTAAACTCTCGCTCAAAAAGCGAAAAATTCGGATTCAATTTGCGGATTCTATTCGATCGCGCTTTCTTGCTATCTCAAAGAATAAAAGACTCCTAATCGTTTAAACTCCATTCTTAGCAGGTATTCTGAGGAATTTTCTGCAAAGCGTCGATTTTTCGATTAGCAATCTCGCACTCGCGGGAAAGTTCGCGATTTCGTTCGCGCGGCAACGCGAGATCTCACGAATCTCGTAACGTTCATGGGAGCGCGGGACGGATCGCGCATATCCGGCCTTCTCATATAAGTACGCTCAACAATTGCCTGATTCGGCGCATCCATTATCGCACTTGTTTGCCTAATTTCACTTCACCGCTAATCTAATATTAGTCGATCAATCGTCAGGAGCGTGGAATCGTTTCCACGATGTTTTTTTCCTCTCTTTTCTCTCCAAGAGTCCGCTCCGCGACGCTGATCGCGAACGCGGGGGGTCGTTGACCCCGTACGATTATACATCAACAGAAACTTCGGTAAGCAGAAGAATTCCTTACGATCATCTTCCATTATCTCGCACGTAATCTTAGAACTTGCGAACGCTTACACGCGCGATTTTTAATGTTTCGTTAAATGTTAACGTTGATGCGGCAGTGTTTCGCAGCGAGATATCAGCGAGCAACATTTTTTTCTATGATAGAATCATAGATTTTCCATGAAATTTTCTTTCGCATAGGAGTAGAATAAAGACGAGACGCGTTCGATTTCTCCACGCTAAATATTAACTCTGAAAAACATTCCGATATGAAATGTTGAGTCGTACGCTTATTCGTAACGATCGTGATTTTTCTTTTCCCCTGCTTTCTCCATTCGTATTCATATTTCTGATCTCGCATACCTGTACATAAGGCCTCCCGTACAGGATTCCAGTAGAGCGCCGCCGAAAACGCACACATAATATTGTGTGCAATCACGTGGATGAGGGTAATATCCAAATTCTTCGGGGCATTCAAATTCCAGGACTGCCTCATTTCTGCTGGCTCTCGCACTTCTCGGAGTATTCCGTTGGCATCCTAAACAATAAGTAGAAAAACAAATTTAAAATGTTATGATATCTAAATGCAAATCTAAATGTTTAATTTTCAAATCTAAAACATTATTCAGAGCCCTTCAATCAATACATACATGATTAATTTAATGTTATTAATATTCCTAAAGACTAGCAAGATTTTTTTCTATTCCACAAATTTCAATTAAATTATCGTCAGATCAAAATTCGAGCCTGAAATCCCCTGAGGGCTCTATCCGATTATACAATATATATATATCCGAATCGGACATGCATCTGATCCTATCGGAGCTTATATGGCCTCTTGCATAGTTTATCCAATCCTAGATCTCCGCGGAATTGCGAAATAAAATTTTTATGCAGTCCATATTGCGAAACAGTAAAACAAAGAAAAGTTATAGAAATTAATAGGATTAAGAGGCCTCGTACGGATATACAAAACCAACAACCATTGTTATAAGACCGACAAAGATTGTTTTTGATCTTTGCGATCAGATTATCGTGCAAGATAAACCTTTATAATTTCACACAAGACTTAGAATGGGTGTAAGATTTTTAAAATCTATTTGTTCCTCTCCATAACATCTTCCTTTACCATAATAATGTATTTTGGTAAAATTATCATCAAATAAATTTTTTTTAAATATACATTACTTTAAAAAATTAATACACAATTAATAATAATAAATAAAGCTTAAATTATATAAGTAAATATACTCTTTCCCAACTGATGCACATTTTTATTACCATTCACACTTTTGTAGACTCGTACTCTAATTTGAAAATTCATTCCACTTTAGAAATTAAAGACGCGTTATCTATTAGCCAATAATATCGACTAATAATATCAGCCGATAATTTCACCTGAGAGAACTCGATGTATAAATGTACTTTCATTAATTATACGAACAAAGCGTGCGTCAATGCTGATGTGAATTATGATTACAATCTATTTATTCCGACGTTATGCAGGGGCGAGTCGGGCCGTGAAATGTCGTAAACATTTTCAGCTTTGAACGAGCGTGACATGATTGCCTGCCGTATATCATCGCGTACCGCATGTCGTACTTGCATGTTGAAACGCGAGCGCGATAAATGCAGCGATGGATTGTGCAATGGAAAAGTAGTCGGATTTTTGGTCGACCTTGTACTCACACGCACAAGCTGTTATGTACAACATATGTATAATGCCCAAACTTGTTTACCGGACTGCCCTAACTCAAAAGGACTTAACCGCTCATTTATGTGGAATCTACAATAGAAGTCGTAGCGGTCTTAAATAGAAAATTGATCAATTATAGTCGATTATTCTTCTCACATTCGATTGTAATTAATTAATTTTCTACGACCGCTACGACTTCTATTGTAGACCTCGCATTAGAGAGAAACGTTTTTACGACAGTAGTGTTTACTCAGAGAGGATATCGGGCGAGGTAAACGCGGAGAACGTGCAAGACATAGAAAATGCGTCGCGCGTGGAAAAGCCGCAACAATGCGGAGGCATTAATTTTCCCGAACGCAACGTAAGATATACGCAAAAGAAACGCACGAGGAAAAACGTAAGACGCGCGTGCATCTCGCGTTGCACAGATTTCGCAATCCGAGCCTCTCTCGCAAGAGGAAGTTCGAGCCGGGGGTCTTTTACGGCGAAGTTTTCCCTCTGATTATAGAGCCGGGTTGATTAATAAGCGCCCCTGGAAATCGAGATAATTGCGACTTAATGAGAAAACGTGCAATCGTGGCCGAAGAATGGATATCAGCGTTGTCGGAAGCGCGTTCGCGCATTCCATTCCTCAATCATCGGTAGAAAATAAGAAAAAAAGAATAAAAAAAGGGAAAAGAGATGAAAAGCGAACCAACGAGGCGAGCGAGAGAATCGGAGATAGGAGTGTCGTGAAAGCGAGGTGAAACAGTGCTCGAAGATGCGCGCACTGTTGATGTATCCGTGTTTTCCAATGTCTCGACGAGACGTTGGAACCGGAACGAAGCTGGATTTTTAGTCACGCGACACAAACGCGGGACAAAAGTCGCCATTACCGTTATTGCTCAACGGTTTTTCGCTTTCCAGAAGTCATCACCGGTTTACGCGCGACGCGAATTGCGACTTGCGGGCCACGCGTGGGTGCCTCAGACATGTCCGCGCGGTCGAGAAAAGCGAATGCACGTCTGCTTCCCATACGCATAGAGGACCGTTGTGTAATCATCACCAGGTACCCGATACGCGTTCTAATGACGAGCAATAACGAATCTACTAGGCGCGCGAGCGCGTATTATCGTAACGGCGATTAAAATTAGGTAACCGGAGTGGGAAAAATGGGAAGATCGCTCGATCGCTGGGAAGGAGAGATCGAGAATGCAAGATTGATTTCCAAAGAATGCGACTAATTAAGTGCGCGCGCAACCGAGTGCAATGAGCGAGATGGAATTAATTACTTCATCATCATCCCTCCTCTCTTCCAGCCTCGTTAATTCACGATGTCCCGGTATAATGGCGATGAGTTTCGTACGGTATAGCGTGAGTTAATGCAGTTATACATTTTACGAGACTAAAAACGTATGGTAACTATTCGCTTAACTTTCCGTGCAATTTAGTTTCTTCTTGCAGGAAAGTACGTCCGTTTACTAAATCCCTCTATAACGTAATTTCCTGTACGTATATGTACGAGAGCTTCTTGTTCAGAAGAAGGACGTTTATTATTCAAATTGCAAGTGCAAGTCGTGTTCGAAACAAAATTGCGTGACAGATACACGGGTGTTTATTTATACACGCCGTATAATTATGCATTTGGCGGAGCACGTTGTCTTCCTGGCGGCATTGAAGGCATCGGCCAGCTGAAGTATTCGGTTGCGAAGGTCGCCGGGAAATGCTGGAATGGAGGAAAGAGGTGGATTTGAACGGGATATGAACGTCCTCGACCGTACAGATGCAGAAGGACGCGTATACGCGGCAATTGACGTCAGGGGATTTAATTTCAATGCAGAGATCCCGATCCCATTCTCTCTTTCTCTCTCTCTCTTTCTCTTTCTTTCTGGTTATCGTTGGCGATTGCTCTCGAAATCCTTCACTCGTGACCTTGAAAGCGGCCTCGAGATCGCTACCTGTAGGGTGATCCAAAATCTTTCAGCTATTCTTGTTGTCCCAATTACTAATTAGGGCGATTCCGTTTTGAAGAATGCGATAAGAAATCATGAATATTCAATGATACTTTCAAGTAGTTTTTTTTTCATTAATCAATCATTCGTTACGTCAATGATATTTTGAATATTTTTTAATGTTAGAAACTTTTGTAATGTCCGGAATATATTAGATAACTATTTCTAATTTAATATATTATTTTTTATAATAATCATTTATAAAATTCCAGATAAAATCAATGACAATTCATAGGAAGCTGTGGCTCACCTTGAGGTCTCTTTTTTAAAAATATTTAAGCAAAATGTTACATATATATTTTTAGTATTTCTGAAATGTTTAATCATAATTTTAATATTCCAAAAATATTTTTTAATTTATGATTTCATTATATTCTCTCTTATGTTGATAACATTTTAAATAAAACGTTTTACGAATTATATATATTTAAATAATTTCTTTCAATATCAATAATAACTCAAATATTCTATTTTTTTATATTTAATCTTAAAAAAAATTTCACTTGTGGAGCACCAATGACTTTCTCCCTCTTGACAAATGTCTGAATCCAACAATGATAGAATGTATTAATTAATGTATTAATTTTTAAGTATAGGTGAGAAACTAATAAATTTTTCTTGGGAACATACCTTTCAACTACTTTGTGTGTACATATCTCATTACATAAAGAATTCACACTAACGCAATTTTCTATCACGTCACTGACATTTGACGGTGGAAATGGAATTATCTGCAAAATATAATGCAGCCAGATATCTTTGATGGGTAGCGACATTCTAGTACATTGTAGTCGACGTGTCATCTACAAATAATATGTTCCAAGAGTATGCCTAGCGAATAATGTTTGCGATGCGGACACATACAAGAACGTTGCACCCGGCGTACTAAATGTCAAGCAGAACTCCATGCAGACGCATTGTCGACCTAGAAATTCTCAAATGATGCGTCGCGATTGCTAAAATGACACAAAGTGCGTTGCAGCCTTTTACGGTTGGTAAATACGTATCCAACGGCAGTACTAATCCACGTTTCACTGAAATCTCTGATCGCTAATTACACGACCATATCACGTTTCACGTTGCGCTGATTGTTAATTGCACGATCACATGCCATGTCTCATATTGTATACGAATCACATTTTCCACTATCTCTAATCAATATTGCAAAATCAGTGCGTAATTTGATATCAACTATATTATTGTTCGATTTTCAAGTAATATTTCATTATATCGAGACATGTCTTTCTATTTTTTAATGCCAAAGTATTCATTAACTTTTTTTCAAAATGTTTATTAATTAATTGTTTTAATTCCTTTTTTTTATTGAATTTCTTGAAGTCCTTTAGTTCAAGACTTTTCTCGAACTATAATACAAGCAGAACTTTGAAGGCAAGCATCTTTTTACGATAATAAATGAAAATAAATGAGGAGTGCCAAGGCTCATGTAATGAAAAATTGCAAAACTTTTTTTACACCTAGCGGCTATTCCGTAAGAAACTGCGGTTTGATGTCGGTTTTTTGTAAAAGAGAAAGAGACAGACACTAAACAATTTTTACATAAAAGGCTGTGGATAAAATGTAAGCGCAAATCATTAAACGATACAGAATCACGAACGCAACTATACGTTGCAACTCTGTGATAAAGAAATGACAGGCAATCGTTTCACTATATAAACAGCTCTCTTGTAAGGATTTTTACGCAAGTCATATAAAAATATCATTTGCATATTTTTTTTATGGAGAACGTGTGATGTCGAAAAGACAACTTCCAACGAAAAGATGTTGCAAAAATTGGTCGGAAATTTCATGCACCTTACGCGAGCAATTATTTTACTGCAATTAGGCTCTTTA